TACACCTTGTTATCTCAGATTCTCCAGCATCGGCAGTTCCCACTATCTCTACTAACAATAGTTGTTCTGGTACCTCATCCAAGTATTGATTACTTAGGGATGAATCTAGACTGTATATACTCAGTTGACTGTTTGACCACTGTTAAGGACCACACCAGATCTCTTCAAAATATATTAAGAAGAAAGCCTAGATCCCAAATTTTTCTTATTTTAAAAGCATGTGCCAGGCATTGCCTTCCAGATGCAATTCGATTGGTTAAATTATCAATCTTGAAGCAAAACACACTTTATTCAAACACGTTAGTTAAAGTACAACAAGAAGAAAGACAAAATTGGAATAACGTAACTCTGTTGGAAAAATTAACAGAATAATAGATTACTTAACTACAAAATAGTAACAATATAGCAATTCCAATGTAGCAATATCTCAAACATACCCTTAGCAAATGCAAATTCAGAAAAATAAATTGTATCACATGCAGTTCTCCAGCCCAGGAGGAAAAGCATCAAGAGAAATCTCTGAGAGAGAGTGTAGCAGGTAGAGATGTACTACAGTTTAAAAATCCTGCTGAGAGCTCAGCAACCACTACTGAATAACTAAAACTAAAAGTCCTGGTTCTGTGGGAGCTTGACCCCACCCATTCAGGCTGCTTCTATTGTTCTAACTTTAAAAAAAGGCAAGGCCTCGCAAGCGGTTTAATTTTTGGGCTTCAAATAGACAGCTCATTGCCTCTGTCTCAACCTTTCTTCTGAAAAAAAAGGATCAAATAAACCTCTTAAAGCCATAGTATCATCACACCATAAAAGCATCACAGCCAAACCTAAATCCTGAATACCTTCCATGCTTCCAAGGAGAGACAGCTGAAAAACAGCCATGTGCACTGACTTTGGCTGACTGTCTTCCCAGCTGATGCACGCTGAGTTAATCTGTTCTAGCTCTGCCTCCATCTGCAAACACAGCAAGGCCAGGGAAGGGAGTTGCAAGTGAAGGTTAGAAAGGGTAAAGGACTCCACATTAATTGAAAGGATTGACCTATTTTGTCCTTGAAGTGGAGAAGATTCATGAGCTTGGTTCCCAGGAAGTAGACATTAGTTATGAGGATAAATTGAGGGATTGGGGGTTGTTCTCCTTAAGAGAAGGTTAAGAATACAGTTGATAGAAATGTTTCAAAACATGAGGTGACCCAGCAGGGAGAAACAGTTCCTGTTGTCAAGAACCCAATGTGAGATTAGGTGGGCTATAGGGGGATGGGTCTGGGTGGGATGCTCTGAGGATCAGTGTGGACTTGTTGGGCCAAAGGGCCTGTTTCCACACTGTAGGGATTCTATGATGATTGAGTTCGAGCAAAGGAAATGAAATAGTTATAAGCATGAATGGCTAGGATCTGGAATACTAAGGGTGTAGGAAGCAGATTCAATTATGACTTTCAAAAGTAAATTGGACTGTCATCCAGGCAAAATATTTGCAGGGCTTTTGGGGAAAGAGCAGGGGAATGAGAATAGGTGCATTGCTATTGTAGAGGGCTAGCGTGGACACAATAGATTGAATGGCCTCCTTCAGTGTCTTATTTATTCCACGATTCAAACTGCTTAAATTGTGCAGTACTGCAAAGCAGGAAAGAAAATAGTTATTGCAATATTGCCAAAATATGGGGCTTTATTATCATATTAAAGAGTGTTGTTTATCATTTTCAGCTCAGAATATTAATATCAATGAATTTATGCTATGGAATAATATAAACATTTGGTAACTCATCTGAAATCCTATTGTCCTCCATTTTAGCATAGTTCAAAATGGAATAGTTCTTCAGATTAACATAGCAGAGAGAGGAATTGGAAATGAAATGCTAAAAGCATACACATGAGTATTCTGCCAAAAGGTTTCAAGATCTGGGTACAATCATGTAGGTATTAATATTTCATCTAGTATGTGCCTGTGTCAGTCACTCTTTAGGAAAATTTCTTTGACCCATGAAATGTGAAATCCACGTTAGACAATTGTAGAATAACATTCATCAAATGATAGATCCTAAAGAAAGAGGTGCACTTTCTTCCTTTTCAGATAATAATGCTATTTCCTATTGAATGCCCAAGATGTTATTAGGATTCAATTTAAATTATATAACATCAAATTATATCTCAAGTTTTAATTTTTCAATTAATTGAGATTTATCAGAAAACACCCAGTTTCTGAATCTGAAGTCAAATTTCCGAGCATTCAGTGCTGTCTAAACCAACATTTACAATCATGTGAACTTCTTGTTCTATAAAGACTGGTAGATCAATGTTTGTAAGTGTATCAGCACACAATTCATCATGGACAATAAACATTTAAACTCACTTATTTTAGATTGATTTTCTTTTATGCAGTAAATGTTTACAGTTTCTGTTTCTTCACTTTGGTAGATTCAGATTATTTACACTGATTGTCATTCCCTTAGGTATAGCATCAATGCTGGTCTCATTCCTGGTTGGTTTATATTACAACAGTATAATCGCCTTGGTCATGTGGTACTTCTTTAATTCATTTCAAGAGCCTCTGCCCTGGCACAGCTGCCCGATGACAGAAAATAATACAGGTACAGGTCAACACTGTATTCTCCAAAATCACATGTTGTTCTCAAGTGCAGCACATTATCCAGTTCTGGGCACCACACTCAGAAAGATGTCAAAGTGCTGTAAAGATTTGCAAGTCTGACTACAGAGACAATGATCTTTGTTTAAATAGTTAGATTCGAGAAGTTTATTCGCTTAGAGAAGGTGAAGGTTGAGAGGAGATTCTATTGGGATCTTCAAAATCCTAATGGAATAGTATGGGAGAAATTGTTTTCACTGGTAAAGGATTGAGAAAAAGAGAGTAAAGATTTAAGGTAAAGAGCCCATGAAATATGGAGACATGAGGAGAAACTTCTTCATGCAAGTGGTTAAAGATCTGGAATGCACTTGCAGGGGAGACCAAAACCAGGGACCTATAGCTAAGATAATCACAAAAATAGATTTACAAGGAAGTTGCCGGGAATGGAGGGTTTGAGTTATGAGGAGAAGCTGAATAACCTGGGACTTTTTTCACTGGAGTTTAGGAGGTTCAGGGGTGACCTTATCGAGGTTTACAAAGTAATGAGGGGTATAGATAACCTGAATGGCAGGTGTCTTTTTCCTAGGGTGGAGAATTTCAAGTCACAGGGGGCATACTCTTTAGGTGTGAGGAGAGAGATTTTAAAAAGACATACGGGGCAATTTTTTTTACACAGAAGGTAGTTCATGCATGGAATGAACTACCAGACAAAAGTGATGGATACAGCTACAGTTACAACATTTAAAAGACATTTAGATAGGTTCATGAATAAGAAATGTTTGGAGGGATATGGGTCAAGCGCAGGTGGGACTAATCTAGTTTGGGATTATGGTCACTATGGATTGGTTGGACTGAAGGGTCTGTTTCTGTGCTGTGTAACTCTTTAAATAAAAGCCATGAATAATTTAAGAGAAACTTAAGAGTAGTTAAGACTCAGGTGTATTTAAGAGGTAGAGAAACACATGAAATGGAAAGGAATAGGATATGTTTGTGACGTTAGATGAAGAAATGGTGTCTTGTGTGGAACATAAACCACAAGGGTCAGTGAGGCTGACTGGCCTGATCCTGTGCTATAAATTCTACATTGAGTCACTGGCTTAGCTCCGTATGAGATAAACGTAATGTCACATAGCTTTATTGCGGATAGCAACACTTCATTCTTGGACATTTGCTCCCAAACCTTTTGCCTTGAGCACCTGCGTTCAAAACTAGACCAGAGTGATGAGACTCAAGTCTCTTCTAGCTGCCAGCTGTCAAAATGTTCTAACCAAGCTGCTCAGCAATATTCTTCCACACTTCTGGTGCAGATTGAACTTAGACCTGGGTCTCCTAACTCCGAGGTAAAGACAATACCACTACTCCACAACAGCGCTTATTCTCTTGGCTGTAATGAAATACATTTGACCAGTCTCAGTCAAGTTTCCCAATGGACATAAATCCACAATATAATCTTGACACAATATAAACTTGATACTAATTAGCATTAAAGTGGGCATTTGCTGAAGAAAGCCTGAGTGCTAATTGGTTGAAAAGATTGATGTTTTATCATGCAGCGTACTTTTTCAGTATTCTCATCACATGAGTGATATCTTCTACTATTTTTAATTATGTTTTGACAGGAATTGTTGATGAATGTGCCAGGAGTTCTCCAGTAGATTATTACTGGTACAGAGAAACCTTAAACATTTCTACTACAATTGATGATTCAGGTGTTATCCAGTGGTGGCTATTACTCTGTCTGATAAGTGCTTGGGCAGTGCTGTATGTATGCATAATCAGAGGCATTGAAACAACTGGCAAGGTAAAGTTCTTTCATTCATGTTTATACAAATGTAAGATTTCTATTGTACAGTTAAAAAAATCCTCTCAGTGCAATGGGCCTTCACGTTTTTCCTCCTGCTCAGAATTATCATTGAGGAATATCTAGCAGATACTGTAGGATCTGCAAAATGTTTAGCACATTTTTATTTTAGCCGCTCATGCAGTGAAGTACTTTAATTTGTAATACAGAGGATTACATAGGATGGATGGCACAGAATCAGGCTATTCAGCTCAACGAGTCCATACTTTTATGCCATCTTAACCATTTTTCTTTTCTCCTTAAAGCATCTCTACCATTCACTTCAACCAATACAATAGCAAGTTATGTATTCCTGCCATTCTTTGGGTTTCTCCTGAATTCCATTTTGGATTTGCTTGTGACTGACTTATATTGATGGCATTTACAAGAGGAAAAGTACTTTGTGTATCCTCTAACAAAATCTTTCATAATTTTAAACATTTCAATGAATCACCCTTCTTTTTGCAAATGAGAAAAGGCCAAACCTGTCGGACCTTTCCTCACATGTGTACTGACACATTTCTGGTTTTATCCAAGTCAATCTCCATTGAATCCTCTACAGCACCATTCTATCTGTTTCGATAACGTGGCCACGAGAACTGCACCCAGTATTCTCCATGTAGTCTAAACAAGAATTGTTACAGGTTTATACATCCCCTCTGTTTTCAACTCTATTAGGATGCATCATTAAAATTTCGACGAGCTGTTCTGTTTTCCTCCGTACAATATTCAACAGAAGATTCTGCTCAGGTCACCCGGCCTCAGCAACTTCAAGTGTTTTGCCTTAAAAGGGAAACATCCATTTTTGTTTCCCTCCCTTTCTCTCTTGAAGGTGTCAACTCCTTGCTGGTTCCAGTAATATTTACCATTCATCTCATCTCCCTTGAGTACTCTTGTAAATCTTAATGGTCTCATTATATTATTTGAATGTGGAAGATATCACCAGTCTTATCTTTGTTGCATGTGTCACTGTACCCAGCCTCTGTGTTCAAAATGACAGCAGCTGCTTGGACTTATAATATTTGCGATAATCATGATAATTGTCTGTGAAGAAGAGACGCGTTAAAATAATGTTATAAATGGATATCTAATTTGCTTCATTGAAGTCTCACAGAGTGAGTAAGTGAGCCCAAGACACCATGATAGCCACACTTAGGTGTAAATGTGTGTGATAGCTGCAGTTAAGTTGCAGTGTTACTGCAGTAGGGAAGGGAGATCCTGTGATCCTGTCACTGAGTAATCCAGACACTCAGGCTTACAGTCTGCGACATTGGTTCAAATGGCAGCTGGTAGAATTTAAATTCCATGAAGAGATTCTGGAATATAAAGGTCGGCTCAACATGGTAGGCATGACACTGTAATTGTATAAAAGCAGATGCTGGAGGGACTGTTCAGGTCTGGCAGCATCTGTGGAGATTGTTTCACAAACGTGCTTTTGGGAAGAGTACCTGCTGTTTCAACCTACACGTGAATCCAGACCCACTGCCATGCAGTTAACTCTTAACTTCCTTCCAACATGACTGAGCAAGCCACCTCAGTGGCAATTAGGGATGGGCAATCAATGTGGGCCTTGTCAGCAACATCCACATGAAAAAAATTAAAATCATCCATGCCTTAAGTTGTCCAAAAATGACTGTCAGAACCAGGGAGTTCTTTTACGTGACAAGTGATGCAAAATAATTTAACATCCTTAGCTCAGCAGCTACCTGCAGGGACAAGTAAAAGAGGGAAAAATCTGTAGCCATTTAGAGTTGGAACAGAAACAAATCTGGAAAATCTATCACTCAGCCTCCCAGGTGATTGGATACTTTCTGTGTTAAACACAGGAACTAGGAGCAACAGTAGGCCATTCAGCCTTTCAAGCCTGTTCCTGCATTGAGTATGGTTACAGCAGATCCTTTATCTCAATGCCATATTCCCACTTTCTCTCGATACGCTGTGATGCCTTTAAACCCAAACATTTATCAAACACTTGCTTGAACGTACTCAGTGACCCGGCCTCCACAGCTTACAGGTTGACCATCTTCTGAGTGAGGAAATTTCTCCTTATCTTGGTAGTAAATGTTTTACTCTGTATCCCGAGACCCGCACTTCCAACCTTCCCAACCAGGGAAAACATCCTCCCTCCATTTAGTCTCTCTATTCCTATTAGAATTTTTTACATTTCAGATCCTCTGTCATACTTCTGAATTCTAGTGAATACAGTCCAGCTAAACCAATTTCTCCTCATGTGACAGTCCAGTCGTCTCAGGATCAGCCTCGTGAACTTTTCCTGCACTGCCTCTATGTCAAGTACACCCTTTCTTAGGTGGGGAGACCAAAACTGCATGCAATACTCCAGGTGCAGGCTAACAATTCCCTGTTATAAGCCATCCAGGCTTCTCAGCTCAAATCATCTTGCAATGAAGGCCAATATACCACTTGTTTTCCTCATTGCTTGCTACACCTGCCTGCCTATTTTCATTGACTGGTGTTCAAGGATGCCTAGATCCCTTTGTACATCCACATTTCCCAATATATCACCATTTAAATATTACTCTGCCTTTTTGTTTTTCTCACTGAAGCATTTATCTTCTCGTTTACCCAAGTTATACGGCATCTTCCATGTTTTTGTCCACAAACTCAACTTGGTCTAGATCGCCCTGAAGCCTCCATGCATCCTCCACACAACTCACAACCCCACCTAGTCTTGTGCTGTTAACAGAATTGGAAATATTGTATTTGCTTCCATCATCCAAGTCATTTATACATATCATGAACAGCTGGGGCTCAAGCACTGATCCCCCACTAGACTCTGCCTGCCACCTGGCAAAGAAACAATTTATTTCCACTCTGTTTCCTGTCAGTCAACCAACTCAATCCATACCATTATATCACCCCTAAACCCATTCATTTTGCTCTCTAGCCTTTTTGGTTGGACTTTATCAAAAAGCTTTCTTCAAATGCAAATACATTACATTCATTTGTTCCCCATTGTCTAGTCTACTAGTTGCATTCTCAAAAATCTCCAGTGGTTGGTTAAACTTGATTTCCCTTTCCTAAACCCGTGCTGACTTTGTCTAATCCCATTAATCTATCTAAGTGTTCTGTTATCATGTCTTTTAGAAAGGAATCTAGCATTTTCCTCATTACTGATATTAGGCCAAGTGCTCTGCAATTCTGTTTTCTTTCTCTCCAACCCCTTCTTAAACAGTTGTGTTTCCACACCTTGTTTATCAATCTGTAGAAACTGCTCCAGAGTCTATAGAATTTGGAAAGATTACCATCATTAACCCCTCCCCACCTTTGTTTTTTTTTGTAGAAATGATAACCAGCTTGAAATTACCATTTAAATAGTGTAGACAATAATTTAATTTGAATAGAAGGCTACTTCAATTCTCCCATGTTTAAATTCAGCAGTAGAATTCCAAGATAAACAAAAATAGCTAAACATCTACATATCTGGCTGAACTGGTGTGATTGATTTAATTAGTTTTCTTTTCCTTCAGGCTGTGTATGTTACCTCTACTCTCCCCTACCTGGTTCTTACCATTTTCCTGATTCGAGGACTGACGTTAAAAGGATCTGTGGATGGAATAAAATTTCTCTTTACACCAAAGGTAAGTGCAGACTTTTCTTTTCCTTTTCTGTTTTATTGCAACAGGTTTTAGCCCAAAAGAAGGGATGGCTTGGATGGCCAGCAAGAAACACAATGCACCGATCTGTTCTGTTCAGGACATGCACAGGAACTAACTTCAGTAATAGTGAAGCATGGGAGTATTGTTGTACCTTTCTGTGAGAGCCCAAGCTATTCTTTATCCTCATCTAGTGTTGCAGACACACTGTCAGAAGTGGCTGCAGGCAACGATGAAGCTTCTCTCCTCTCATCTTTTAATCCAGAATGTTTTGTAGTACCCACAATGGCAGTCTTAACAGACCTAGCTTCAAATTTTCCAATGCAACCAGCAATCTGAGGAGATTCCAGTTGATCATTCACAGTCACTGCACTGGCGAAAGTTCTGGAAGCTTCTGAAATGGCAAAAGTTCTGGAAGCTTCTGGCAGAGAAGTGCAGAAGGAGACAGCCAGACAGATCACCCTTATGAGATTTTGCATGTGTTATTGGGTAGACATACAGGAAAACAACAAATGTCTGGTCTCTGAGACTACCTCAGGAGCTGAAGAGACATCATGAAATCCATTGTTCCCACAGAGGCGCTAAAAGCAACTGTCCATCTCCAAAGATATTCAATGAATTTGACCACAGTGGCTGTTGTGGAAACTCCTTTTGACTTGCACAGCTCATTAATGACCAACATGATCCAGAGGTGACCTGCATCACTTGATTAAACTCCTTTAGATTTTCCTAGAACTTGAATCACACATTGCAAACTATTTGACTCAGGGTGCTGTTAACACCAGTGCAGGAAAGAGAAGCAGACTTCCAGGCTAATACCATGCTTGTCTAACTACCTGCCAAGCAGGAATTTCCTTGAAACCTATATTCCAAGGAATCTCAAATTCACTGGGAAAAGGAACCTGATCCTGGGTCGAGTAACTCCACCAGGAACTGTTTCCCTGCCATAATGCCTCATCCCCAATTCTGAAGGAATTTGACAACTCCTGACTCCAGTGAATTGGACTCTGGTCTTCAAGTGAATGGAAAACTGCTGTTTAATTTCAAGTTCATGAAGAAGAAACTCCTTACTGTATTGTGTGTGTGTGTGTGTGTGTGTGTGCACGTATTTTTGCGTGTGCGCATGTATGTTGCATGTGTTTGTGTATGTGTGCGCACATGCACACCTGCGTGTGTATGTCTGTTTGTGTGCATATAATGTCTTGTAAGACTGTTCTGGGGTGAATACTCAGTAATACTCCCGATTTCAATCTAAGAGGGTCTATAGCACATCACTTTAAAACTGACTTCGTGTAAGCAAGGGGCTTAGGTACTTTCCAAATTAAATCATTCTGTTTACACACAGAAGTCAAGGAGAAAAATAAAGGTTTGGTCTGTCTGTCTTTCTGAACATTTCTATTCTTATGATTTCCAGGTGGAAGAGTTGGCAAATCCAACCACATGGTTAGATGCTGGAGCACAAGTGTTTTACTCATTCTCCTTGGCTTTTGGGGGTCTCATTTCCTTCTCCAGTTATAACTCTGTTCAGTAAGTAGCATCCGATGTGTGTGCTCATTGAGTGAAAAAGCAACCCAAACATTTAGAAATGATCACAGACTGACTGCTTTCCTCTTCTCTCTATCCCACAGCAACAATTGTGAGCGAGATGCTGTGATAATCTCTGTGATCAATGGCTTCACATCAGTATATGCAGCCACAGTAATATATTCCATCATAGGCTTCCGGGCAACAGAGCGATACGATGCATGTTTTGATAAGTAAGTTCCTGTTGAATATAACTATCAGTATTTCTTTTGCACTTTTCTGCATTACATTGCGCAATTCAAATTGTTGGGAATTTCAAATAGTGTAGCTCACAGGTCTTCAAATCAGCAGATAACAGGTTCAATTTCATTTGGGTGATGAGTGCCCTAAGGGCAAACCAGAAAACTGTGGGTACTATCCATCTCAGTCATTTGCAGGACCCCATGAGTGCATTTCTCGAGTGTCAAGCAACTAACTGGTTGCTGTTGGCATTGCCATTCGTTGTGAGGGTGGGTGCCCACACCTGCAGGTCAATTTGAGGGCCTACAGCTCAGAGTATCACTGGCACGTTCCAGGGAAAGTGATGGCCTAGTGGTATTATCCAAGTTTGAATCCCACCACAGCAGATGGTAGAATCTGAATTCAATAAAAATCTGGAATTAAGAGTCTTATGATGACCATGAATCAATTGCCAATTGTCAGAAAAGTCCATCTGTTCACTACTGTCCTTTAGGGAAGGAAATTGCTGTCTTTACCTGGTCTGGCCTACATGTGACTCTTTACTGTTTTTCTTTTGCTCATTCACAGGATGAGGGCATCACTGACCAGGCCACTATTCATTGCTCATCCTTAATTGCCTAGCGGACAGTTAGGTGTCAAACATATTGGAGTCACATGTAGGCCAGATCAGTTAAGGATGGCAGTTTCCTTCCCTAAAGGGCATTATTGAGCCAGTTGGGTTTTCCCGACAATCAACAATGGACTCATGGTCATCATTAGATTCTTAATTCCAGATTTTTTTTTACTGAATTCAAATTCCTTCTGCCATGGTGGGATTTGAACCGAGTCCCCACACATTATTTGGGTCACTGGATGAACAATCCAGAGATAATACCATTAGGCTGTCACTTCCCCTTGTGTGGTCTGAGGTCAGTCAGGCAGGACCAGGTGATGGAGTGTGGGATGGACACACTGGTGAGAACAGAAGAGGCAGCCAGTGTCACTCCATGCTGCCACAGAGTTCCTGAATAGGAGGGGATCCCCTTCCTCCAACCAGAACCCACAGGGTGGCCACCAGGGTTCACCATTTGGCAAAGGTCCCGCAAGCCACTGCCAAAGTGCCAGTGACGGTTGTAAGAGATCCTAATTGGCCACTCAAGTAGCTCTGTTGACCTCTGAGCATTAGGGTTGTCCTCCTCATTTTGTGCCACCAGTAAGATGATGTGATGGCAGGCAAACCATGGGCACATCATTCCACCAACCCTTTTACAGCTCACCCGTTCTGCGCCACTCCCAGTCCATACCCAGGAAAGCTGGCAAAATGCAGCACTGTATGTAGAAAGAAGCATGAAGACAATTTGAAATATTTGCTTTTGATAAGTTTTAACTAGACCGTTCAGTATTCACAGAATAGTCTTTTCACTCATTATGAAGGAGCAGCGATGTACATTCAAGTTACGACTTTGGGAAACTTGGCGCTGACAATATCTTCAGTATCTGCTTCTCCTTTCCTTCTAGTTTGTGGATGACTTAATTACGTGGGGAGTTGTGAATGGAGATGAACATTTCTATCATTAGCAGACATCGCCACGTCTGATCTATAATGGAGGGAAGGGCTTTGATGATATAGCTAGATACAGTGGTTCTGAGAAACTGTCCTTAGCAGCAATATGCTGAGAGTGAGGGGATTGGCTTCCAGCAAGTACAACCATCTTCCTTTGTGTTAGGCATGCATCCAGCCAGTGGAAAGATTTCAATTCTCCTGGAGCTCCTTGGTGCCACCTTCAGTGAAATGATGGTTTCCTTGATGATGGTAGTCACTTTCACTTCACCTTTGCAATAGAAATCATTAACAGTTAGTGGACAGTACTCTGTCATGGATAATATTCAATAATGTATAGTAGTCTATTGTGGATGTATTCTACAATGCATGGGTAGTATTCTGTAAGCTATGATGTGTTGAAGTATATACTATATAGTCAATAATCTATGATGCTTGTTAGTCTATACTGGATAGTATTCTATAGTGGATGATCTTCTATAAAGTGTGGAAGTCCACAGTGGATGATGTTCTGCAATACGTGGTATTTTATAGTGGTCAGTATTCTATCGTAGTTGATATTCTATAATGCATGGCCTACTGTATTGGACAGCAGTCGGTAGTTGTTAACATATAATAATGGATATTATAGGGGACAGTGTCGTATGGTGGATAGTAATAGTGGTGGTGGTACGCTCTGCATTGTTTGAGCATGTCCAAGCTATAAGGGATTTCAAAGGTCACACTTTTCACAGCTAATCCTACGCTCAGGAATTTGAATATAAGTGAGGAAAGGTGTGTACTGCAGTCCACTCTCTCAGCTATTTTGCATGATGCCTAGGATGATGAGGATCCAGGAAATCTGGCTGGTTTGGCCACTGCAGAATGTAATGAGTCTGTCCCAGTTCATGAACATGGTTTATAGCATGATATTACAATGGGTCAAGTCAAGAAGTTTGACCCCAAGAACTACCTCAGCCAGAATCTGGATTAAACCCATGCTATTGGCATTATTCTGCACCCCACTCTTAGCCAACTGAGAAAACTGGCTCCTTAGTGCATTATATTCTATTATGGACAGTACTGTATTGGAGAACATATTCTATAGGAAATGATGTTCTATAGAGGACAGTGTTCTATGCTGGGTAATTTTCCATAATGGTTTGCATTCAACAACTACCCACATTCTACTGGAAAGGCATTCTCTTCGCTATGGTATTTTGTAGAGGAGAATATTCTATAGTGTACAGTGTTGTACAGTGGACAGTATTCTGTAATAGACCATGTTCTATAGTGGGCGACGTAATATGTAGATGGAGAAGAAAGACAGACTGACATTTCTAAAGACAAGACAATTTGAAAACGCTGCATGCTATAAAATATCATGTAACATTATTTAACATCGAATTTTTTTTTGCTTTTCTTACAGCAATATCTTGAGCTTGACTAACGCTTTTGATCTGTCAGAAACCAATCTGACCAGAGACAACTATGATAGTGTCCTTCAGTACTTAAACAGTACCCACCCAGCGAAGGTTTCGGAGCTGGATTTGAAAACCTGTGATCTGCAATCCCTTCTCAGTCAGGTACCTTGAGATCTGTTTATTACAAACTGCCTTAACGGTGATCTCCTTACGTTCTGCTTGGGCTCTTCCAATCTATTTGAAGTTTACCCTTTTAAAGGCAGATGAGAATGTCCAAACTAATGGTCAGTGCTTTCTATCATTCAATATTGCGGTATTTCCATAAATTCAGTCTCATGAAGTAGTATCTGTCATACTAATGACAATGGTCTAATAAACAAACTCTCATCAGGGATTGATTATCTCTGTGAATTCACTTATCTAAAACAGTAAAACATGTTACAAATTATAAAGCAGATATTACAGCAAATCAACCGACTTCTGTGTGTGCAGCTGGCAGGTCCACAGCAGAATAATTGCCAGGCAGAGTCACAACATTTTATACACACAACACATGGAGTCCTTTATGGTGAACTCTTTTATACATAGAACAGTATCTAACTATAAATGTTCCTCTCTATTTCATTTAGTATGACTTTTGACATCTTGGGTTATGTCTTAAGGACCAAGAATGCAAAGAATTGTTTAGTTCATCCCTCTCCTGTTCCCAAAAGTAAATTATGAAAAGAGATATTATGTGCACACATGTATATAGCCTTGTGGATTTATAAGTGTATGTGGAACAGTAATCACACCAATCTCACCACACAAATCCCAATTACTGAGACAACATTTCCATCTTATAAGATTTGAAGTGCTTAAGACAATAGTACATGGCTCACAACAAGTATCCCAATGAGGAAGAAGGATTCTAGGAAGGGGTTATGCCAACCATGGTTAAACATGAAAGTTGAGGATAGCATCAAATTGAAAGGAAAACCGTACAATGTGGCAAAGATTAGCAGTGTGCCAGAGGATTGGGCAAGTTTTAAAAAAGACAATAAAAGATAACAAAAAAACAACGAAGAGGGAGAAAATAAATTTTCAGGGTAAACTTGCAAGTTATGTCAAGACAGACAGCAAGAGCTTTTTTTTACATATATTAAAAGAAAGAGAGAAGTCATAGTGAACATAGACTCCTTAGAAAACAGGACTGGGGAACCAAGAAATGACAGAGGAATTTAATAAATACTTTGCATCAGCCTTCACAGTAAAAGATACTCATAACATTCCAAAATGACTAAATAATCAAGGGACAAACAGAGAAGAGGAAATCAATACAATAACTGTCCATAGAGGAAAAGTGATGAAGCTAAGGGCCAATATGTGCTCTAGACCTGATGGGATACATCCTAAGATATTAAAGAAAGTAGCAGAGATAGTGAATTTATTAGTAATAATCTTCCAAGAATTCTTAGATTCTGGAAAAGCCCTGGAAGTTGCCAATGTAACACATTTATTTAAAAAGGGAGGAAGACAAACAAATGAAGAAAGACAGCAGGATGCTACAGAATAGAAGGACTTGGAATTCCTAGTGTAAAATCACAAAATGATAGCATTCAAGTTCAGCAGGTAATAGGGAAGGCAAATACAATGTTGGCCTTTATTTTAAAGGGAGTGAAGTATAAAAATAAAGAAGTCTTGTTAAAACCATGCAAGGCACTAGCTAGACCACACCTGAAATACTGTGAATAGTTTTGCGCCTCTTATTTAAGGAAAGATGTATTAACATTGGAGGCAGTCCAGAGAAGGTTCACTGGGTCGATCCAGAGTATGGAGGAATTGTCTTATGAGGACAGGCTGAGTTTAGAAGAATGAGAGGTAATCTGTTGAAACATGTAAAATTCTTAGGGAACTTAACAGAATATGAAGAATGTCATCCCTTGTGGGAGAGTGTAGGACCAGAGGGCATTAGAACATAGAACATAGAACAGTACAGCACAGTACAGGCCCTTCAGCCCACGATGTTGTGCAGAACTTTTACCCTAAACCTAAGGTCTATCTAACCTCCACCGCTACCTTATACTATCATCCATATGCCTATCTAATAGCCGCTTAAATGCCCCTAATGAGGCCAACTCCACTACCCTCTCCGGCAATGCATTTCATGCCCCTACCACTCTCTGAGTAAAGAACCTACCTCTGACATCTCCCTGATATCTACCTCCTTTCACTTTAAAACAATGTCCCCTCGTAAAAGCTACCTCCACCCTAGGAAAAAGATTCTGGCTGTCTATTACATCTATTCCTCTGATCATTTTGTACACCTCTATCAAGTCACCTCTCATCCTTCGTCGTTCCAAAGAGAAAAGTCCCAGCTCTCAATTTAAGGGGTTGCCCATTTAAGACAGAGAAGAGGAGGAATTTCTTCTCTCAGAGGGTTGTGAATCTGTGGAATTCTTTAGCATAGAGAGCTCTTAAGGTTGGGTCATTAAGAATATTCGAGGTTAATATAGACAGATTTTTAATCAGTAAGGGAATCAAGAGCTATGGAGAAAAGGCAGTGAAATGGAGTTGAGGATGATCAGATAAGTTATGATGTTATTTAATGGTAGGGCAGGCTTGATGGCCTAAGGCCTATATCTGCTCCTGTGGCTTATGGTCTATGGTCCTGAACAATATTCTAAGGTTAATGTGATCAGTTCAATGGCATCCCAAAAATCCCTAACCCTTCATTCAATTTCCAAATGAGGAAGATAGTCCTCTTGGTCTTTATTTTTTAAAATGTATTTTTAGTGTTTCTCAACTGAGCTCCATTAATTCTGTCATCTCCTGCAAAAGCCAATGGTTGCCAATATGGATACACTAGATGTATATTGGCAAAGTATAGAAACAGTTCTTTTTGCTACTAGTTGATGTATGACCATGGGCATTTGAGCTTACTCTGACCCTTTATCCAACTTGATGGGGCACAGAACCAAATACATGTTCCCGAAATCTTTTCAATTGCCTCTAATCTCCTTTCCCACAGGGTGTTGAAGGTACTGGATTGGCCTTTATTGTCTTTACTGAAGCTATTACAAAAATGCCAGTCTCTCCATTGTGGTCCATCTTGTTCTTTGTAATGTTATTCTGTCTCGGACTTTCTTCAATGTTTGGGAATATAGAAGGTGTGCTGGGACCAATAGAAGACATGAAAATCTTGCCAAAGAAATGGCCCAAAGAACTTATTACTGGTAAACACAAGCCTTTCATTTACTTTTCTATTGTTTTACATTGTTAAGCCTGTAAGACAACTGTTGTTATCTCTTTTTGAGTCTTATTTATCAAGCAATCTTATGACTTAACTATTCTTGAAAAGCAAAAATATCTGTCCCTACATCATTCAGAACTTAAAGCAATGTTCTCTGTGTTAACCATGTTCCCTATCGTGTCTACAATATAATGCCTGAGGTCAGGAATTTGCTTGTAACTGCTGCAAGTGTGGTGGGAGCTACATTTACTTAGCTGACCAAGGTTCCACCACATGACTGGCAACTGTACCCTGGATGAAAGTACATGATTTGAGCATCTGCATGCAGACCTAAGACTAAGACCTTGTCTTCCCTGTTGCTATTTGACTACTGAGCAGATATGATCACATCATCATTCCACTGGTCTGCTGTGCCCTGGCACACTGCAGTCCACATCCTCCCAATACACAGCCTTTCAAGTCCTACTTCCCATTGGACTAACACAGCAAAGTAAGGATGGGTTTTAGGTTTATATTAAAGAAATCATCTCACAACAGGGTCAGAGAATTTGCAAAGGTCAATTTTTTGTGTAGAGCCATAGAGGTCTACTGCACCAAAAATGCCCTTTGGCCCACCATGTCTGCACTCGTCCCCAAATTAATCACCTATCTATTCTAACCCTGTTTTCCAACACTTGGCCCATAGCCCTATATACCCTGGCGTCATAAGTGTACATCTAAATCCTTCTTCAATGTTATAAGGGTTTTTGCCTCTACCACTCTTATAGGCAATGATTCCAGATGCCCCATCCTCTGGGTGAATAAATGTTTCCTCACATTCCCACTAAGCCTTCTGTCCCTTACATTAATTCCATGCCTCCTGGTCTTCAACAGAACAGAATGATTTAAATACCTCCTATAAATATAGAGAATGGGTGGTATATTAGATTAAACATGGACCTTTCGACCTGCGCCATGTCATGGATGCCCACGTAGGTGTGGGATTTTTCTCTCCCCAGAGATGGCAGGGAGGGCATATAATTGGTCAGCTTGGCATTGGTGTGATTCCCAACTCTTCCTGCCACATCAGTTATCAAATTCTGGCCAGGAAGACTGATGAGCAGATCTCCTGAACACCTACCAGTTGAGGCCCTTAAGTGGTTTATCAACCATCAGCCACTTCAGGGTCTCTGGCCCAATTATCCGCCGTCTGGCAAGCGGGAAAAATGGCTGCTTTCCTGATGGTCGCTTCTCAAAGATGGGTTACGTACCTAATTGCCCCAGTTATAACTATTCACTCTGTCCTCTCTGATAGGTCAAAAAAATCAGACCAGAATGCTTTGTTGAGCTTAAATGGCTACAAATATCACACATCATTTACAAACTAACTCAGAGAAAATCAAAGGATTAAGACAAGTGTGACTTTCTTTCTAAAGGTTTGCTGAAAGCAAATCAGTTTCTGAGATTTTTAAATGAATGCACACAAATATTCATTCAATTGGAAGGCCTTGAAGTGTGTTTACAACTGAGGCCTGCTATGGAGGTGCTTACTTTTGTTAGGAGTTTATGTGTGTAGGGAAAGTTTAGGATGTTTACCATTGTTCACTCATGTTAAAGAAAAATCATAAGGGATATCCCAGTTTATTTTCACTGCTACTTTGTCAGCGTCATAGAAACAAAGAAAATAGATGAAAGAATAGGCCATTCAGCCCTCTGAGCCTGCACCACCATTCAATATGATCATGGCTGATCATTCAATCTCAGTATACCACTCTCACTTTCTCTCCCTACCCCTTAATCCCTTTGGTTGCAAGGACCATGACCTGCTCCCTCTTGAATATATCTAACAAACTGGCCCCAACAGCTTTCTGTGGGAGAAAATTCCACAAATTTACAACTCTCTGAGTGAAGAAATTCTTTCTTATCTCAGACATGAATGCCTTACCCCTTATTCTTAGACTGTGGCCCCTAGTTCTGGACTTCCCCAACATCGGGACCATTCTTCCTGCTTCTAGCCTGTCCAGTCCCATCAGGATTTCACATGTTTCATTGAGATTCCCCTCATTTCTCTAAATTCCAGTAAGGCCGGAGGATACCTCTCCCTGGATGGTTCATATTGGGTTTGATTTTAATGCAGCAGCGGTTAGACTTTGCGGTTGGGCTTCACTGGTGAACTGACAGGGTAAAATGAATTCCTTCTGGTCAGCTGGTTAAAAATGACAGGGCTTGTCTCCCATAGCATTTTAAAGGGGCTGAGTGGAAGTGAAGGCAGATGAAGGCAAGATGCGGTTTATGAGTCACTGGGAAACATTTTTACAGCAATGTATGGGTGCAAGAGGATTATAAGCTGGAAGCTTTGAAGGCCCCAAACACCCATGTAAATGACCCCATCTCTCCTTGACTGTAGTTCAGAATGAACTGTTCCCATTTGCGAAAGAAGGCAAAGGTAAATATTTAAAGTAATTAACAAAAGAAGCAAAAGTGGCTAGGAAAAATCTTTTTCACAAAGTGACTGGTTAAGTTCTGGAATGTGTTGCCTGGCAGTATGGTGAAGACAGGTCAAGTTGAAATATTTGTAAGGGAGTTAGAAGTGAATTGCTCATTTTAAGCACTAGTGCAGGCAAGAAAGGACCAAATTGCCTCCTGCTGCAATCATAACAAAGGTGTCCAAATCAAACCCGATCCTCCGCATTCTTGCCCAGGACAAGCAGAGTTTGCTGGAGATTGATCAGGAGCTGTCACTGAGAACCTCTTTCTCATCTTGGGGCAGTGAAGTGTCCGTGCTGCCACCAGCTTGAGATCAGCTACATTAAAGTAAACTGGGGATTGATCCTGGTACGTCCCATGTCTGTATGTCTGGGCTGTCACTGGGAAAAATCATTGAATTCTTTTTAATTGACTCCACTCTATCCACTGCCTAGAGCCTACAGTGGACCATGTCCTCTTAAAGAATCCTTGTCTTTCGGTGCTTGTCCTAAACCAACCTTACAGCTGTAACTAGGCCATTGTTTTGAAAGTTTTTGAAATATTTTAATAGACAGTAAAAGTCTGTATCAAGTAGATGAACTTCAAGAAAAATATTTGTTTCGCACAAAAGCAACCTCCCAAATGTGAATGTAAACGCCTTGAATGATGGCTTATCTTTATAGCAGTTGGCATTTATTTATTCTGCCATCATAATGTCACTCAAAATGGCTGCCCCAGTTTTCACCTGTTAGGTGAGTGGCAGATGGAGCTGATGGTAGCCACGTGGATAAAGATGGAAATGAGAGTGGGGAGCATTAACTACATAACCCCAATGTTTATTAATACACAAAGCTGTTATGAGCGAGAGTTCTGGTTGCCAGAGTTGAGGCGTGTCAAAAAAATCCAAAGAAATGGGCCATAAACCATAATTCAGCATTTTGATTTCCTACACAAATTTGTTACTGTCACTGTCACAGTGAGGAGATGAAAATTACTCCTCGTTATGATGAAACGTGATGGCTGTGTTCATTCAAGCAAATCAAATTCTGGTTTTCTCTCTTCCAGGACTGATTTGCCTAGTGTGCTTCTTCATTGCTTTCATATTTATCATAAATTCGGGAAACTACTGGCTTGCCCTTTTTGATGCCTACGCTGGCTCCATCCCTCTGCTGATCATCGCTTTCTGTGAGATGGTGTCCGTCGTGTATATTTATGGCATTGACAGGTAACGACACAATGCTCTCCCCTTTGGAGTTTAGTTCATTATTCTATGTTTAAGAGACTATTATGCAGACTGGATTTTTTAAATGAATGTTTCCACCTCTCTTTGCCTACTGCTTCCAAAAGAACTAACCATCATTCATCTTGCTCCTTCTTTGTAGATGTTATGAAATAGCAGTGATTCTTGTAACAAGCTACGCTGCTCGGTTAACTCCTTTGTGCACTTAATATGAATTTTTAAACTATGTTTCATAGAAACATAGAAGATAGGAGCAGGAGAAGGCCATTTGGCACTTCGTGCCTGCTCTGACATTCATCAAGATCATGGCTAATGTCCAACCCAATAGCCTAATCCTGCTTTCTCCCCATAACCTTTGATCCCATTCCTCCCAACTTCTATATCAAGCCACCTCTTGAATACATTCAATATGTTGACATCAACTACTTCCTGTGGTAATGAATTCCACAGGCTCACCACCCTTTGAGTTAAGAAATGTCTCCTCATCCCTGTCCTAAATGGTCTAGCCCGAATCCTCAGATTGTGACCCCTGGTTCTGGACACACCCAACTTCGGGAACATCCTCCCTGCGTCTGCCCTGTCTAGTCCTGGTAGAATTTTATAAGTGTCTATTAGATTCCCCCTTCATTTGTCTGAACGCCAGTGAAAACAATCCTAACCTAGTTAGTCTCTCCTCATACGTCAGTCCCGCAATCCCTGGAATCTGCCTTGTAAACATTCGTTGCACTCCCTTGAGATCAAGAGCATCCTTCCTTATAAAAGGAGACCAAAACTGCACACAATATACTAGGTGTGGCCTCACCAAGGCCCTGTACAACTGCAACAACACATCCCTGTTCCTGCACTCGAAACCTCTCGCAATGAAGACCAACATACTATTTGCCTTCTTTACCGCCTGCTGCACCTGCATGCTTACCTTCAGCGACTGGTGCACAAGGACACCCAGGTCCTGCTGCACACTCCCCTCTCCCAATTTACAGCCATACAGGTAGTAATCTGCCTTCTTGTTTTTGCTTCCAAAGTGAATAACCTCATATTTATCCAAATTATACTGCATCTGCCATTGATTTGCCCACTCACCTCATCTGTCCAGATCATGCTGAAGGATCTCTGCATCCTTGTCACAGTTCACCCTCCCAACCAACTTGGTATCATCTGCAAACTTTGAAATGTTACATTTTGTTCCCTCATTCAAATCATTAATATATATTGTGAATAGCTGGGGTCTCAGCACCGATCCCTGTGGCACCCCACCAGTTACTGCCTGCCAATTTGAAAAGGACCATTAATTTCTACTCATTGTTTTCTCTCTGCCAACCAATTTTCTATCCATCTCAATACACTTACCCCAAACATAAGCGCTTTAATCTTGCACAATAATCTCTTACGTGGAACTTTGTCAAACACTTTCTGAAAGTCCAAATATACCATGTCGACTGGCTCCCCCTTGTCAACTCTACTAATTACATCTTCATAGAATTCCAACAGATTTGTCAAGCTTGGTTTGCCCTTCATAAATCCATGCTGACTCTGCCTGATCCTGCCACTGCTTTCTAAATGCTCTGCTATAACGTCCTTGATAATGGATTTGAGAATTTTCCCCACTACTGATGTTAGGCTGATCGGTTTATAATTCCCTTTTCTCTCTATACCTCCCTTTTTGAATATTGCAGTGACATTAGCTACCCTCCAATCTGCAGGGACTGTTAGGAGTCTATAGAATCCTGGAAGATGACCACCAATGCATTCACTATTTTTAGAGCCACTTCCTCAAGCACTCTGGGATGTAGATTATCAGGCCCTGGGGATTTATCCGCCTTCGATCCCATCAACTTTCCCAGCACAATTTCTCTACTAATATTGATCTCCCTCAATTCTTCCCTCTCACCAAACATTGCATTCTCCAACATTTCTGGTATCTGATTTGTGCCCTCATTTTTGAAGACAGAACCAAAGTATGTATTCAGTTGCTCAGCCATTTCTTTATCCCCTATTATACATTCCCCCGTTCCTGTCTGTAGGGGACCTACATTTATCTTTACCAATCTCTTTCTCTTCACGTACCTATAGAAACTCTTAGTGTCAGTCTTTATGTTCCCTGTAAGCTTACTTTTGTACTGTATTTTCCCCTTCTTAATCAACCCTTTGGTCCTTCTTTGCTGAATTCTAAACTGCTCCCAAACCTCAAATGTGTTATTTTTCTTGGCCAATCTGTATGCTTTTTCCTTGGATTGGATACTGTCTCTAATTTCCTTGTAAGCCATAGATTGGCCCTGTTACCCTGTTACTTTGCTTTTGTGCCAGACAGGAATAAACAGTTGTTGCAGTTTCCCCATGCATTCCTTGAATGTTTGCCATTACCTAGCCATTTTCATCCCTATAAGTAACACTCCCCAATCTATCAAGGCCAATTCATGCCTCATATCCTCATAGTTTCCTTTATTAAGATTCAGCACCCTAGACTCCGAATCAGCTACCTCACTCTCCATCTTGATAAATTTGTAGCATGTTATGGTCGCTCATCTCCAAAGGGTCTCACACAACTTTTCTTTAATTGACAATATATTTCAGAATGCCATCTCTGTTGAGTGCCTTCCTAGAGATTTTACCATGTAATTTTGTCAAATAACTGCACACGTCATCATCTCAAGAATTTATCCTCAGCTTCCTCCTGTTTTGCATCTGTGTGCTGCTTCTGGGATTCTGCATGTACACTGCTAACAGACAACTGAATCCATTACACCACTACTGCTGTGTTGTCAAGTTGCTTGTCCAACATCTGTAACCAGCCCCACATTCCCTCCACTACAAAGACCATGTCTGAAACATCTTTGGATTCCACTATTAATCTATCTTTCAGTCTCAACTATTCCTATACTCTCCTTACACACCTCTCCCCAACAGCAACTTCCATTAACTTGTGCTCCTTCAAAGTCTGCTGCCTTATTCTAACTCATAACCAAGATCCAGTCAATCACCAGCCCTGAGATCACTGACCTATATTGGGTCCTAGTCCACCACTGCCTCAAATTTAAAACTCATCTTTGTCCTCAAATGACCTAATCCCTCCCTGTCACTATTCTGTCAATCCTCCTCCACAATTATCCAATTCTAAAATCCCCCACCCAAATCTTTCTGCCCCCATCATGCCCAGAGTTCCATCTATAAGCCTTTCCATCTCTCAACTTTTCTCTCCTGCTTTAAGATCATCCTTAACGATTACTTCTTTGACAAAACTTGATGTCACCCTTCCTAATATAACCTTCTCTAATCTGATAAAAACCAAAAGAACGCTGATGCTGTAACACAGAAACTAAAGTAGAAATTGCTGGAAAACTTAGCAGGTCTGACAGCATTTGAGGAACCAGTTCTGAGGAAGGGTCCCTCCACCCAAAATGTCAACTCTGATTTCTCTCCACAGATGCTGTTAGACCTGCTGAGCTTTTCCAGCAATTTCCATTTTTGTCTCAAATTTAATCTGACGTTCATTTCAATCTGTTATACTCCTGCCAAATGCCTTGTTACGTTTTTTCATATTAACCTGCTATTTACATGCACTATTTTGTCAAAATTGCTTAATTTAAGCCACTGGGTAATTTGATTTATTGAGCAAGATGGCTTTGAATTAACAAGGGTAGCTTGTATTGTAAAATAGATTAAATACGCAGCATTGACTCTGATATGAACCACCTTTATCTTACCTGGATATCTTTGGTTTCCAGCTATTGAAATCTTGCTTTTCCTTTTAAAACAGAAAGATAAATTTCCATCCAGCGCATTGACATGGAATATAACTGACCTGCAAGTTAGGGAGCAATCATAAAAGTATATGTGAGAATGATCAGATATCAGACACTTGGCTGTGAAAATGTGCCGCACTCTCTACAGGAGATTACAGAAGAAACAGAAACAAAATTGACAGTGACTGGGGAAGGCACCAAAAGTAAATATGCCTTTAAAATTATCCCCACATATGAACTTCACAGTCTATGTATTACCATCTCCCCAAATCTGTGACTTAGCATCATTCCAGGAATTTGCGCTAGTTTATCTGGTTATGAGAAAGAGAACAATTATGTTAGAGATGATAAGAACTGCCGATGGTGGAGTCAGAGACAACACAGTGTGGAGCTGGAGGAGCACAGCATGCCAGGCAGCATCAGAGGAGCAGGAAAGCCTACCCTTCTTCAGAAAGTTAGTTGTGAAGTTCCTGAGTTAAGTATCTCCTACTCAGGAGAGGTATAGAATCTCCTTGAGATTTTGATACACATTTCTAATGATTTACTTGTTTCTTCACAGATTCAATAACGACATCAAATGGATGATTGGTCACAAGCCAAATATCTTCTGGCAAGCGACCTGGAGATTCATTAGCCCCCTCATAATGTTGGTCATATTCCTGTTTTATTTTGTAATTAAAGTTAGGGAGGAGCTGACATACATTGTCTGGAATCCCGAGTATGTAAGTATACTTTGAAGTTAATCAAGGTCAATTTTTCAGAGTAGCAAGTTGAATTTTTAATGAAAAACATGTTTGTGATGGAACCTGCTACAATTTGCTGTTCCATTGCCACTCCCAGGATAAAGTGGCTCCACATAAAGTTTTCCTCCTACGTACTGACCATTGCAATATTTTCGAGCCCTGTATTTGAGGCTAAATTTGATCCTTATCAATATTGTTGAAACTCTATGTTGGGTTGAATATATCTTAAGTATCTTACAAAACATAGGGCATTGTCCAAACAATGTCTTTTAGAAAGCAAATGTAGAGTGACTATTCCACTGGGAAAAATTCTGAGAGATATAAAATGTGCCATTCAACCCATTCTTAAAAGGAGTAGGGGGTTAGATAGAGTGCACATGAGCCTCAAATTGGCCTCCCAGAGAATTTGGTGTGAAATTTCTTCTGAATATTTCAGAATACTTTTAGTTTCCATAATAGCTGTTGCTTATGGGCAGGATTTTTCAGATGGCACGGTTTCCTGGGAAAATGGGAGCCTGATGTGGAAAGGAGTCCCTTCAGGTTAGGCAAGAAATGGTCCTTTAGGATTGATTACTCACTTGGGGCATCAACAGATGCAAGGGTGCACATGGTGGCCTGGAGCTTACCCATTTCACCATACAATTGCAGACAGGTCATGGAGGGGAATAAAGAGGTCACACAGGAATCTTAGGGACAATACCCCAAGGGCATGTAGACCGTAAAATCCTGCTCAGCTGTGACTGTTTAGATTGAGCAAATTGGTCCATTGAAGAAGAGTGCCCTCTTGAGCACCCAGGTGTACGTGTTGTCTTTGTAACTGGTGGCTGTTTCTGCACCTCTCTACAGGAAGATTTTCCCAACCTTGACAAGAAGTTTTATCCTCCGTGGATAACGGTGGTCATTGTCATTCTGGCTGGAGTGCCGAGTTTAGCCATACCTTGTACAGCCTTGTACATTTTCATCAGAAACCAGTGCCGAAGGAAGGAGGACAGGCAAGGCCTCGTCCATTCAACATCAGTCGCCTCAGTGAATGAAAAACAGAATAATGTTTAACTCCACAAAACAACAATGCCTACTTGCACCACTTGCTTAATTTCCACACACACTGAACTCAAAACAAAAAAAAGCACATTACTGGAATGTGGCAAATGTCTAAATTCCTTCCTATTTTTTATTTTAAAGCGGTATTTTTCTATGTGATGTTGCAGTGCCCAACTCCCTGGCTCATCATTGTTTCAAGAAATGTCCACTTGTTTGTTTGTATCTTAATGGAGAAATGGGTCAGAAACAGAGGTTAGATACTCTGAATTGTTATGTAGGACCATTAAATGAAAGGGATATTTGCAATGTCAGTTAATGTACCGCAGCCGTTTAATTGATGCTTTTAGTGCCTTGGGACGTTTCACTGTACTGATGGTGCTAGATAAATACAGGTTGTTGCTGTTGTTGAAGTTGTTATTTCACATCAGCATCTATATTTGTTAAGGGACCAACATCTGTAAACCATAAATCAGTAAAACATGCAAAATTCTTTCCAGTCGCTGTTGTTAAAATGTTGAGCAGAGGTGAAGCAGCATGGCTTTTTACCAATTTAAGCCAGGACCAAGGTTAAATGAAAAGACAACTTTCAATTCAAATGTTTTAAGGCTACTTTTACGAATTGATTCGGCATCTCTTCCCAGACACAAAACAAAAAAGCCTCGTCGATATTCTTCAAGCCCAGCATAGAAGGGATACCTCTTCCTGTTTCTGATTTGCAAAATCAAAGGTTAATGATTCAAAAGGCTAGAAGGGCCGGCGATGATATTTGTACTTTGCTGTTTATACCTACCAGTCAGGCATGAAACGATGAGAAAATGCTCATAATGCAGGGAGACTGTGAAAGACAAAGGGAAAGCCGAGAGCACTTGCAGGTTCTTGTACAGACCGTATTGAAGTTAATAAATTTTATTCGTCCTGCCTGATTAATTCTTGATGATTTTTGATGTACTGCAGAAACACACCAAAGTTCCTTTGATAGCACCTTCCCATAACTACCCAGAAAGAAACAGGCAGCAGAAACACAAAAGCACCACCATCCACAAGTTCCCCTCTGAACCACACACCATCCTGACTTGGAACTATATCACCATTCCTTCGCTGTTGCTCGGTCAAAACCCTGGAGATCCCTTCTTAATAGCTCTATTGCCTTGCCAACAATGACCACGTTCCATGAATGGATTTTTTTAAAAAAAGTGATTGCAAAGAATAATTTTGTATATTTATTTCCTTCACATTTCAGCAATGTTCAAAAAAAATGTATGGGATAAATACTTTACAATTTGATGCAGAGAAAATTTGCACCAATCGTAATTTGTTAAGAAATTGAATGAAATCCTCCTAAAAGTGATCACGGTCACAGGTTTTTCCGAGGCCCATCCATGTGCAATGATTTTCATTTGGAAAGCCAAATTTAACTGTTGCTAAAAAGAGACACAAAGCTAAAGTTTTTTTGTATCCTCCACCAGGATTGAAACACAAGAAAACCAAACTTAGAAATGAAACAATAATTTTTGCAGTTTAAGAAGAGATGCTGATTGGTTGGACCATGGTTGTGATGGAGACACAGCAGGAACTGTTAACTATTGATCTTCGTTAGCTCACTAAATTCAGACCAAATAGGGACACACTTCAGGAAATAACAACCTTGATAGCTGCTTCCTCAATTCCTCAAGGTGCAAGTTATGGACAAATTCCTTTTATGCACGAAGTACAGGGTCCTGTGTGTGAATGTGTGTATAATCTGCCATGCATGAGTGAATCACTCAGCGAGCCTGACTGATCATCGTTAATAGGTTTCAGTGTCATTCTTAGGGCAGTCAACTGTGTCTTGAATGTTATGGTCACCCCTGATGGACCTGAAATGAACCCAGTCCACCTCAGATTACTCTGGGCAGGGTCAGTGAGTCAAAAGATTTGACCAACAAGTCCAGGGAGCCCCCTGATGCTGCTACGTTGCTGAAAGCACACAAATGGGATTCTCCATTAACAGATGCTCCAATCGACACAAAAAGGCATTTTGCACCCCACATGAACAAATGATGTGGTATATGAGTTTCAGTGCCCACATTACACCAGGTAGTTAGGCTGTACATTGCAATGATTGGCAGGCACATCTCTTTGAACATCTGCAGGATGCCAAACATTCTCAGCCAGACTGGACTTGCAAAACAAAAATAACACCAATCCAACGTGAGATGTGATTCTGCTGTTGGATAACATTTATTGGATAATCCTGACTGTGCTAAGAATTATACAACAACCTAATTTAAGATTATCTGTTGAGATTGTAGTGCAATGCAATTGAAAGTACATGTATCCATAAAAAGGAACCTACTCTGTGTAGGCAGAAGGAATTTGACGAGACATTGCACACTTTCTATTGTGGAAAGGGTTATTGAGACTGTCAATCACTGTTGTATTCCTCATAGTAAAACCATAGCTAATATGAATCTAGGTGTCCTAGTCTGAGTTTCACCAACTCACTAAAATTGACAATTAACGGTGTCTGCTACATCTCCATATCAGCCATGATGAAACCAGTCAGCTCCCTCCCCTCATGCTATATAAATTGTTGTTCCCTTTCAAAGTTTGGTTTCTTGTATCCCAATCCTGATGAATGCAAGTTGAATCTCTTTCACTTTGTGTCACTTTTCAGCAATGTTTAAACTGTACTATCAAAAAAAAAATCAACTGTGGTTTTGTAGAGAAACACATCACACTTCACAGCCAGGGAATGGAACAGGGCATTTGTGGGGAGGTCACACGCTGGCCTTGTTCTACAGGCTGAATTCTCCCAGCTGCGTTGATAACAACGCGGCTTCAATTCTGTATCGGGAATCCAAACTTTGGCTTTGTCAGGATATCGCTCATGACCTTCCCGGGGCCAGCCAATTAAGAATCAGTCAACTCCAGCCTCATTCAATGAAAACTGTAGACAGGCCAGTGAATAGGGAGCCTGCTGGCACATCCTGTACAGTGTCTGAACGGCAGCACCATCTGAACAGGTGGTTACAGCTGACGGTGAAGTTGGCAACAGACCAGGAGAGTGCCTCAAAATGAAGGCACTATCTGCCTGATTGGGAAAATATGAGATGGGGTGTTTTGTGGCCCTTATTGTGGCCATTGAATCCCAGCAGGTTGGAGATGGACCAATGGCACCCTATCACCAGAAAGATACAATCCCAGTGGGGTCTTAAACCTCACAGGAATGGGGTGGGGGTGAGTGCGGAAAGGGAATCCAGTATCAGAAGGATCCTGGTGGTGCTGTCGCCTTTTTCCTAATTGGCTACCCATTTCTGCTGGGTGTGTAGCTTATGACACACTTTAGACCCCACCCCGACCCTAGAAAGACTGCTCAGAGGTCACAATGCATTGGATAGCCAACCCGGTGGCCTATTTTCCAACTTTATACCCAATCCAGCTGACTAACCAAACTTTGACGGACCAAGAAAGTTCCCCAGGAGCAAGGAATATTGATTCTAATAATAAACGCTTTCCGGTGTGTAAATGGACACATATTTACGTGTGTATGCACTTTGGAATCTGGTGATAGCGCTTGATCTGAGGGGATCCCAAGGCTGTCAATATGGCAAACTGAACATGACATCCAAAAGTAAATATTCAGCAATTGGTAAAATTATACTGAGGGTGGCTGGAGCAGGTTATAAAAAGCAACCCAATCCAGCAGCACACAATCCCCAAAAATACTTCCCCTTGAAACACATGAACTCCATTCCAATCCCAGGCCCCTAAAAGGGCTGTTGTGGTGTAGTGGTGGTGTCTATCCTTGAAAGCCAGGAAGCCTGGGTTCAAGACTCAGCTGCTCCAGCTAATATATTGAGAATATAAGCACTGGATAATCTGGTGACAAGTGTATTTTACATGCAAGCGTTTGGAGGAATTTATTTGTGCGTGGAAACTAAGAACATCCTCAAAGATGAGATTGTTTACCACCCTTATTAAATATTCCCCACTTCAAACCAGTTTTACTCTCAGACACAGGTTTATTTCATATTTCCATCACCTTGTTATCCATTAACAAATGTCGCTATGTATTTGACAGCCTGAAGCTGTCTTTCCTGGCAAAGTGCTATATTTTAATCAGCACTAAACCACATGATGCTCCGTGTGTGTATTCAGGATGACTGAGGAAAAGGCATTGACCCTCTGTCAGATCTGGCTGCAATCAGCTGCTCTCTGTTTGAATATAACTTTTTAGATTGCTCTCAGTAGCAGATTACGCCATATACGTAACACATTAAATGAAAGAAAGCCAGGCAGCTAAAGACAGGATATCCAAACGTTTCCTTACACATGACCTCAGTTGAACAAGATGGCAGCAGAAAAGGAGAATGATTGTGTTACCGGTGAAACCAACGATGCTCTGAAGGAGGAGAGGCCAATGTGGGGCAATAAGATCCAGTATGTCCTGAGCTGTATAGGATTTGCTGTGGGACTGGGAAATGTATGGAGGTTCCCATATCTCTGTCAGACCTATGGAGGTGGTAAGTACACAGCACAAAGGTAGAAGAGAAACTTGTATAAATTGATTGAGTTTTTGAAATTTCTAGTTCCGGAGTCACTTTGTACTACAAAACAGTTAGAGGATGAACATTATCACAGGAGAAAATATCCCTCTGTTCACTGTTTTAGCAGAGACAGTCAAGCACTCAAAATAAGAAGTTTAACATCTGTATAAAAATAATCCACAAAGGAACATCAACAAAATACAGTCAGTGTCTATCGATCAATATCCCCCAGAGTGATTCTAAATGAAAGGATCTTCAATAATTTCAATAATGGCTTTTTTAAAGACAAAATTAGTGAAGTGCCAAGATAATCAAACCCCTTTTTCTGTCCAGCAGAAACCCTGATCGTTATTTTGAAATAATGATTATTTTCGGTTGGTTATTTTTGAGTATAATTTACGAACTCCTTGATACTTTTTCAAAATACTTAGAATGTTACAAGACTCAAAAATGAGGCAACTTACATGAATTTCTTTTTGCAAAACAATGATGAGTTTTCCACAATATACTAATGTGCTTGTCTGTGTGAACTAGATGACCTCTAATTGACCACCTAATTGATGGTCTGTCAACAAATTGTTGTTCAATAAACTTGAGAAAAGGTGACTGTTAATGTGGAGATGTGGAGTTACTGTGTCCCAATATATAACTGTGTTAACATGTTTTAATGATACATATATGTTAGTCCATCTCTACTCACCATCAACAACCCTCATACATGATTCACATTCTGCCATAACAAGGATTTAACAGCAGAAAATTCTAATTAAAGGTTGTGTTTTAGAGCAAAGAGTATATTTACACATCAGTTTTAAAAAGGTACTGAGATGAAAGATGGTTGAAATACTGACTAATAAAGTTTTAATGTTATTTTGATAGACTCTGAATAATGCTTAATTAACTTGTCTTGTTAAATGAAACACAATCAGAGTGTTAGAGGGAGCCTTTTTCCTGAGTGGTTACCAATTATAAAACTTCTTTACAAGTAGTGAACATTGGAAGATTAAAAAGTAGAGGCAGGTGCAAACAATGAATTGGGTTTTGATCGCAGGGCAACTTTCATGAAGGTTTAAATGGGTAGTTAAAAGTTACTGAGGTAATTTTGATTTTTGTGTGAGAGTGTAAAATGAGGAACACAAATCAGTAGCACATTTTACATCTCTCTCAGATTTTAATTCCAGTGATCTCAAAGTTACATCCCTGGCTTACACCAGCATACAATCAGGTACTGCACCAAGGTTAAGCAGAGGGCATGACACTATTTTCAGTGTTTACTGGGCATTAGCAAGGAAATTGTACAATGGGGCCATGTGCAATCTGTGCCATGGCATAAACCACTGAATGTTGGTTAAAACAAACAGTGAACTCTAACATTGGGTTTCTCACTTTTAATTCCAATTGCAATGAATTGTCTCTTGCCAACTGAAAATGAACAAGAGAAGGATGGGCCCTTCTATTGTCAGAATCAGCCCACTTTATGCAGCTTCCAAAGTTATAATAAGGCAGACAAGTGGAAATCCAGCAGCTGGCATAACTTGTGACGTTCTCAAGGAAAGATCATGAGAAACATTTTCCCCGTTTCCTTTAGTTATCTACATTCATGATCCCTACCACCTTTCTCAGCGTGGCCTCTGAGTTCATCTAGACTAGTCCCTGACTCACTTGCAAGCACCAAAATTATCCCGATAAAAGTCACCAATGACAGTGCTGCCTGACTACGACTGCGGTTCACCTTGTCTCTTTTGATCATTTGACGTGGTTAATCACTCACTCAATCACCACTGCCTCTCCTTTTTAGTCTCTACCTGCACATCAAACTCTCTTGGTTCCATTTTTTATTTGCCAGTGAGTTCTGGCCCATGTTGAAGGATCCAATACTGAGAGGCCACCCACCCCACCCAGCCCCATTTACCTCATGCTGTGTTGCTGATAGTGCCAGCTTAAATTATGTTTGCAGAATAGAAATTGTCAAGCAATCTCTAGCAATCCCAGCTAGAGTTCTCCTGTCTGGTTGACTTCAGTAACTTTTTCAGAAAGCAAGCAGAAGTACCTTTGAAGAAATTCTACTCCCGTCACATCTTTCCCAACTTTCTACTTAAATGAGTTATTCACTTTCAGTTTACTCCAAGATTGGTGGCTGGGAGGGGGGCTGTGGTAAAAACCACAAAGAAAGAAACGTTTGTTGTGTGAAGTTTGTGAATGAACGATTTACAGAAATATCAGTTTAGTCGAAAGTTTTGCTGTATATGAGTCAGAATGTTCTGTGTCCACTGCAGCTTAACATTAATAACATTAAAATCTTTAACAACGGTCCCATCTCCCTGATCCAGTAGTAGTTGATAGAAATCTTGCTATTTTCAGGAGGTCAGAAATCACACAACACCAGATTATAGTCCAACAGGTTTATTTGAAAACACAAGCTTTTGGAGCCCCTTCATCAGTCCAATACCGGCACCTCCACATCATATTTTCAGGAGCAGAGGATATTGACCTGTCCATGTTCCCTCTCATCCACATCACCTAAAAGCATTTTCTGGACTCTGCTCAGAATATCCTGGCAGTCCCGTTGGCCAAATAAAGAGATTCACTGCTTGACAGAATGGGGCCTGTGGACTCCCCTCAATATCATCTGCAATGAAACAGAGCATCATAAAATAATATCAGAGGTAGTAAGAACTGTAGATGCTGGAGTCAGAGTTAACACAGTGTGGAGCTGGAGGGTCTTAAGAAGGGTCCCGACCCGAAACATCAACTTTCCTGCTCCTCAGATGCTGCCTGGCCTGCTGTGTTCCTCCAGCTCCACACTGTGTTATCTTCCAATAACATAACTGACTTGGCAGATTGCAAGACTGATGGGTTAATTCCTGCTCCCAAAGCTGTTGATTTTGATTTACATCCAACACATTTACTGTTTTTGGAAAAGGGAAAAAAACATGTATCTTCCTTTTATGCTCCACAATGTAAAATATTAACTGTTCCTTACAGACAGCTTTTATTATAGTTTACTATCTTTCTCGCAGGTTCAGGTTACATTGAGGAATTCAAAAGGTCATCAGAAGTGAACATTTTCACAGGGTTATAGGGAAATGGTAAGGGAATAGGACTACGTGATGGTTGTTGCACAGTCATGATTAGCTGAATGGCCTGCTTCTGGGCTGTAATTAATTGGGTTCTAAGGAATCACCTCCCTGATGCTTCAAATGAGAACTGCAAATTCTGTGACACACCACTCAATTGCTGCACATCCTCTAAGACTGCCTCGTTAATAGAGGTTCTTAAAACTAACAGCGGATTTGATACGTTGGACGAGAAGAAACCTTTCCACTGGTAGGAGGGTTGATAACTGAAAGATGCAGATGTGTGACATTTGGAACAAAATCATTACGAAGGAAAAGGAGAATCTGTTTTACTCAGACAATCATCCTGATCTAGAACGCAAGGCCTGAAACTGTGACAGAAGAAAATCCAACAATAGATTCCAAAAGGAAATTTGCTAAAACATTTCCAAAGGACAGATTTGAAAGATTGAGAGCTAAGAGAAGGAAGGAGTTGGACTGATCAATAGATCTGTCTAGCTTGGGAGGGCAGCTTTATGGGTAGGTGTTTGGGTAGTTGTGTGGGCAGTTGTGTGGGTAGGTTTGTGGGCAGGTGTGTGGGCATGTGTGTGGGTAGGTGTTGGCAGGTTTGTGGGTAGTTTTGTAGGTAGGTGTGAGGGCAGGTGGGTGGGTAGGTTTGTGGATAGGTGTGTGGATTGGTGTGTGGGCAGGTTTGTGGATAGTTGCGTGGGTAGGTGTGTGGGTAGGTGGTTGGGTAGGTGCGTAGGTGAGTGTGATGGCAGGTGGGCATATGTGTGGAAAGGTTTTTGGGCAGGAGTTTGGGCAGGGGAATGGGCAGCTGTGAGGGCCTGTGGGTGGGCAGGTGTGTCAACAGGTACAGGGGTAAGTCTATGGGCAGTTGTGTAGGTAGTTGTGTGCATTGGTGTGTGGCAGATGGGTCATAAAATTGGTCAGCATTCATGATGCCTACCTCTCCATTGCAATTTGCAATTTTACCCACATTGTCTTCTCCTGTTCTCACCCCATTACTTGGTCTGTTGCCTGGCAATGGGGTGTGTGCCTCTTTTACAGGCCCCCAGACCCGGCAGCAGACTCCTGACAAGATCTAGCTAGCCCCCTTGATCCCTAACCTTTTCCTTGCCTCTTTCCTCCCACCCTATCAACTCCAGCTCTCCCTCACCTCTCTCATGAGGGCCTGCCACTCCTGACCCACCAAGCTCAATGCCCTATTCCAGTAATAATCACCATTGGCAACATGATGGAGTTCTGACAGCGTCCATTGCTCCCGCTGGTTCGTTCCCTGAAGCTGCCAGTGGATTTTCTGACCAGGCGAGAGCAGAATGGCCACGTGGGAAACTGACACAGCAAGGGAGCCCTCATTTTCAATGTTTATCACTGGGGAATGGGCCCAGACCAACTATAAAACTGCACTTTACCACTGAGTTGGTCATCCTTAAAAGCTGAATGGAAAGTGCTTCAGCTGGAGAATTATAAACACGATGGTGTTAAGCCATTAAATCATAGTCATAGAATCATACAGCACAGACTGTATGACTATATGATGGTCCAACTTGTCCATGCCGACTAAGTTTCCCAAACTAAACCAGTTGCACTTACCTGCGTTTGGCCCATATCCCTCCAAACCTTTCCTGTTCATGCACCTGTCGAAAAGTCTTTTAAAGTTTGCAATTGTACCGGCATCTACCACTTTCTCTGGCAGTTCATTCCACATACAAACCACTCTGTGTGAAAAAGTCTCCCCGCAGGTCCCTTTTAAATCTTTCTCCTCTCACCTTAAATACGTCCCCTTTGCTATTCACCTTGTCTATGCACCGCGCCCACCCCAATTTTTCAAACCTTTGTAAGATCATCCCTCAACCTCCTACACTCTAGTGAAAAATGTCACAGCCTATTCAGCCTCTCCTTCTAACTCAAACCCTCCAGGCCCAGCAATATCCTGCTAATTTGTTTTTGAACCCTTTCCAATGTCATGATATCCTTCCTATAGCAGGGTGACCACAACTGTACACAGTACTCCAGAAGTGGCCTCAACAGCATGCTGTACAGCTTCAACATGACACCTTAACTCCTATACTCAATGGTCTGAGCAATGAAGGCAAGCTTGTTAAATGCCTTCTTAACTACTCTACCTGTGACGCAATTTCCAAAGAACTATGTACCTGAACTCCTAGGTCTTTCTGTTTGACAACACTCCCGAGGCCCTACCATTAACTGTACAAGTCCTGTCCTTGTTTGTGCAACACCTCGCATTTATCTAAATTAAACTCAATCTACCAATCCTCAAGACATTCTCTCAATTTATCAAGATCCCTTTATAATCTTAGATAACCTTCTTCACTGTCAAACTATTCCACCAATTTTGGTGTCACCCACAAACTTACTAACCATGCCTCCTAAATTCTCATACGAATCATTTATATAAATGTGGACCCAGCACCGATCCCTGTGGAACACAGCTGGTCACAGGCCTCCAATCCGAAAAACAACCCCCCTTCACCACCACCCTCTGTCTCCTACTATAAAGCCAAAGTTGCATCCAATTGACAAGCTCTCCCTGAATCTCATGTGATCTAACTTTACTAATCAGTATACGATGCGAACCTTTGTCAAAGGCTTTACTCAAGTCCAATTGGCATTGGTTATCGCTCTGCCCTCCTCAATCTTTTTTGGTTACATCCTCAAAAAACTTGATCAAGTTTGCGAGACACTATTTCCCACACACAAAGCCATGCTGACTATCCCTAATCTGTCCTTGCCTCTCCAAATGTATGTAAATCCTATTTCTCAGAAACCCCTCCAACAATTTACCCACTGCTGATGTCAGACTCACCAGTTTATAGTTCCCACGCTTCTCCTTACAGCCTTTCTTAAATAAAGGCACAACATTAGCCACCCTCCAGTCCTCTGGTACTTAACCCATGGCTATAGGTGATGCAAATATTTCTGCTAGGGGAACCACAATTTCTTCCCTTTTACAGCACAGAAAAAGGCCCTTCAGCCCATCATGTCCAAGCCAGTCATCCAGCAGCTATCTACTCTAATCCCATTTTCCAGCATTTGGCCCATAGTCTTTGTACTATGGCATTTCAAGTATTCATCCCAATACTTTTTCATTATTGAGACTGATCTTCCCTCTACTACCCTTTCAGGAGTGAGTTCAAAGCATTGGAGAGGTTACAAATAGATTTACAACAGCAATGTCAAAGCTGAGGGATTACAGTAATGTACAGAGAGATGAGATGCTCAAATTGTTCCCCTACATTTTGTCCATGAGACCCATCCACTGCTGATTAACCTTATTTTCAGTGAACTACTGATGACCCAATTCCTCTTCCTGCTGTCTGTGTCAAAGCTGGTAACGCTTTCCTCATCTCAAGTGCTGCTCCATAATCCTTCATATCTGTCCTCATCATCCTTCTCAAAACAAGTCTGACCCCTGTGTCCTGCAAACGTCCGTTCCATCTCCTACCTCTTTTCCCTCACCAAATTTTTTACTGTGTTGTCACCTCTCTGATTTATGCCCAGCTGAGCTGGAGCTGCATGTTTGAATCCCATCCTGAGTCTCCAACCCTACCACAATCACTCAGAGGGTTCAGGAGCTGAGGGCAAAATCTCAGAATACTGAATCGCCCATTAAAGACAGAGATGGGGAGGAATTTCTTCTCTCAGAGGGCTGTGAATCTGTGGAATTCTTTATCGCAGAGCACTGTCGAGGCTGGGTCATTAGGTGTATTAGTTTCAGCAGCAGTGACAATATACGCAGCGATGCTGACGAGAGCAGACAGCTGAGGCTTCCTGGAGAGCGAGATAAGCAAAGATCTCATCAAAGAATGTTGAACTTTTAACTTAGTCCTTTATTTTCCCAGTTTAAACTAGGAAAGACTTTAATGTTAACTATTACCTTATTTCTTCATTTTTCTACTATTGTATGAAGTAATGCTTAACTTTTTAACTCTAGTTTCTCTTGCTACTTTGTACCTAAGTTTTTTTTTGTACCTAGGTACCTTGCTACCCAAGATGGTGCCATGAGTGGCGACATTATGCACTTTTCACTGTACTTCTGGACTTCAGTACATGTGCCAATAAAAATCATCTAAATAATAATAATAATAAATAATAATATATTCAAGGCTGAAAGAGACAGACTTTTATCAGTAAGGGAATTAAGGCTTAAGGAGATACGGAAGGAAAGTGGAGCTGAAGGTTATCAGATCATCTAGAATCTCATTGAATGGTGGAGCAGACTTGATGGGTCATATAGCCTACCTCGGCTCCAATATCTTATGGCCTTGTCAAAATCATGAATTATATCCTGATCAACTCTGATTAAGACACACTCTCCCTTCTCACGGGCTCAAACTGTTGCGGACTTTGGCTTGGTTGATCATACTATTTTTCTCCAACATCTCTCCACAATTGTGCAGCGAGATGGGAGGGCACTCACCCAGTTCCATTCTCATCTATGCAATCAGAGCCAGATAAAAGGGCTTTTCCTCCCTTTTCCAGCACTATTCCAGCCATGAGTCAAACCGTCTTTCAGGTCCAGCTCTCTTTTCTTCACTTTCTCTTCGACGGTCAAGTTCAGTTAGTTTTTGATCTTTGAGCTGTCATTGTTGCTGCCCAGTATGTTTCTCTGGCTTTGAATTGTCAGTGTCACCAGGGTAGGCTAGCCAGGAGTTAAGTTGTTATAAATCTCTAGTCTTGCCTGAGGCAATTTCTTGGCCACAGCAGTGCTCATAGCATGAGTGGCCTGAACTAAATACGTGACCTGGGTAACGTTATTCTTACCAATATTTAATTTAGGATGGGTGTAACCAAGGGTTAAGTAGGCCTGAGTGGATTAGATACCTAGCTTGTGGATAATATTCTCTGCATTTCTTTTTAACACCTCTCAGTTTGTAGCCAAAATGGATCAGAGACTTCCCAACACAATGCTTATGAGGTGTTTATCCATTATGACAATAGATTTTTTTAAAAATTGCTCATTGTTACAGCGTAAGGGAAACAATATGGCTTTTTAATGACTTATCTTGCAGCTTCTTTTCAAACTGTGGAAATATGCTTTGCTTTAAAACATAACTACATTTACCAAATCCTTCCTGTGGTGAAAAATAGTGAAAACAAATCTCAAAATGTAACAAGGTCAAAGATTAAGGAGAGAAAAGTGAATTTTAATTCAGTGGCTGAAATTCTTTCTTTGCTTGAACTGTTTGTGGTCACAGGAGCCTTTTTAATCCCATACACTATTGCACTGATCTTTGAGGGAATTCCACTACTTCACCTTGAATTAGCAATTGGACAGCGACTCCGCAAAGGGAGTATTGGTGTCTGGAACTCCATTTCGCCATATCTGGGAGGAGTTGGTAAGATCTTCTTTCTAACATTGAAAAAGAAATCAAATTTTTTTCTATTAACTAAGTAGATAACTTTGATGTCATAAAAGTTGTATTTTTAATTCCCAGAGACTCTTAAATCGTCAAAGTAAGTTGACAATAAGAACATGCTGTGGTAGACATTGCTTACATGGACTTTAGCAAGGCCTTCAACAAAGTCCTACATGGTAGCCTGGTTAGTAAGGTTAGATCACATGGGATCCAAGGAGAAATAGCCAATTGGATACAATATTTGCTTGATGGTAGAAGACAGAGGGTGGTGAGAGAGGGTTGTTATTTGGACTACAGGCCTGTGACCAGCGGTGTGCTGCAAAGATTGGCTCTGGGTCTACCATTGTCTGACATTTAAATCAATGATTTGGATGAGAATATAGTAGTTGTAGTTAGTAAGTCCGTGGATGAGACCAAAATTGGTGGTATAGTGGATATTGAAGAAGGTTGTCTAAGATTACAAAGGGATCTTGATCAAATGGGTCAATGGGCTGAAAAATGGCGGATGGAGTTCAATCTGGATAAATGCAAGTGGACAGTGAAGAAGGTTATCTAAGAGTACAATGAGATCTTGATCAGATGGGCCAATGCTGTGGCTATACAAGACATTAGTAAGGCTACATTTGGAATACTGCATACACTTCTGGTCGCCCTGCAATAGGAAGAAAGTTGTTAAACTAGAAAGAGTACAGAAAAAATTTACAATGAAAGTTTGAGTTATAAGGAGAGGCTGGATGGGCTGGGGCTTTTCTCATTGGAGCATCAGAGACTGAGGGGTGAGCATAGATAAGCTGATTAGCCAAGGACATTTTCCAAGGGTAGGGGAATCCAAAACTGCAGGACATAGGCTTAAGGTGAGAAGGGAAAGATTTGAAAAGGACCTGGGGGATAACTTTTTCACACAGAGAGTGGTGCCTGTAAGAATGAGCTGCCAGAGAAAGTGGTAGAGGCAGGTACAATTACAACATTTAAAAGATATTTGGACATGAATAGGAAAGATTTAGAGCAATATGGGCCAAACACAGGCAAACGGGACTGGTTCAGTTGAGGATACCTGGTCAGCATGGATGAGTTGCCATGCTGTATGACTCTATGACTCTTAATTAGAAACTAGGTCTTTTGACTTGAAGCAGTCAATTTTATGTGAAGTTATTTCTTGGCATCAACACAACTTGTACATAATTTAATAAAGTGGAGATGGAGCTACGGAGATAGTGTCACTGGCATAGTAATCGAATAGTCTAGGCTAATGCTCTAGGGACAAAGGTTCAAATCTCACCAAAGCAAGGGAATAGAATTTAGATTTGAATAATAAAATCAGGAATTGAAAACCAGCTCCATTGATGGCCAACATGACAAGCATCATCAATTGTTGCAAAAACTCATCTGCTTCATGAGTTGCCTTAGAGAAAGCATTCTGCCATCCTTACCCGGTCTGACCTATATGTGACTCTAGACCCACAGCAAAGTGGCTGGCTTTTAATTGCCCTCCCTTGTAAGAAAACTTCAGAACAATTAACCAAACATAGGAGTGAGACTTTGCAGTTTCACTGCTCCCATTCTGAGACTTCAAGTTTGAGTTTCATGTTAGGACCATTTTAAATAATAACTGTTGGTCTAACCAGCAATGCACATATCCTATAATAAAATAAAAAAATTATCATAGTAGGGTCTGCCGTCACAGCAAACATTTTCTACAGTAAGATTCATCTGTATTTATGGCATAAATCCAACAATTTCTTCATGCTTAAGGGACGTTGATACCTATTCTTTGTTTGTGCAAGGCCGAGGGCAGAATAGTAAAAATTATCCAGCAAACGTGTGGCAATTCATAACTCCAGCCACACCTCTTCTTCACCACAGATTACTGTGATTTTTATGTGCCAATATTAGCAAGCATCATGATCCTGCCATGATCCTCTCGGCTATCCCTGGGCCACTGTGTAGAATAAACCTTGAAATAACCGCTGAGAGGATTATGACAGTGGCCAGAGAGTGACTGGTGTGAGTTGCCTCTAACAAGGCATTTAACTTGAGGCGGCAATGTTTACATTATGTTACGTAACATAAGAAAGTGGCTGCCAACATCATGGTATTAAAGAATCCAACAGACATTTATCACAACTAACTATTACATACAAATAAGTGCCTGATGAAGTGTTCAAGTGCCTGACGATGTAATTTACAACAGAGGAGTGTGCTTCCAGTGATCTGAGGTAAGATGGAGTCTGAAGTCTTTATACCCTCAGGTCACAGGCTATGATTCAATGATGATATCGTGACTGTATCTTTTAATGGCATTCTAACATCCTGACAATGAGGCATAACACAACATGAATCCACCTCTGGCTACATGTCTTCAGCAGGTTTGCTTGTTATTTGCCTGAGGACACCAAAAGGAGATTTCACCATCCAGGAAATTCCCTTACATCATGGCATCATGCTTGCATTATTTTGGTGTGCTTGTTAGCTTCTTACCCACAACTAATGACAGAATTTGAATTTTTTTTTTGAAAATCTGGAATTAAAAGTCTAATGGTGGCCATGCAACTATTGTCATAAAAACCCATCTGGTTCCCTAATGTCCTTGAGGGAAGGAAATCTGCTGTCCTGACCTGACCTGGCCTACACAAGTCTCCAGACACACAGCAAAGTGGTTGACTTTTAACAACCCTCTAAAATGGCTGAGCAAGACACTCAGTTGCAATTAACCACTAAAAAGACTCAATAAAAGAATGAAACTGAATGGATAATGACAATGGCAAACTCAACTATTATTCCTCAAAGTCTACCTTGCTAACATCTGGGGCCAAAAGTTGGGAGAGCTGTCTCACAGATTAGCCAAGCTACAGCCTGACATTCTCATATGGTTCTCTTAAAACCATACCTTACTCGCAATGTCCCAGATACCACCACCACCATCCCCGAGTGTGTCCTATCCTATGTTGGACTGACCCAGCAGATGTGGTGGAACAGTGGTATACAATTGGCCAATGACTCTGGATGCCCATGGCCCCCATGGCATTTGGTCAAACATGGACGTGAAAATCTCCTGGTGATTACCATGTACCCACCCCTGACTGATAAATCTGCTTCTCATTGTTCAATATTATTTGGAGGAAGTACTGACAGTGGCAAGAGCAGAAAGTGTGACCTATGGGGGACTTCAACGACCATCACCAAGAGAGATTTGGCAACACCACTACTGACCCAAAGGACACAGCTGCTAGACTCGATCTGCAGCAGATGGTGAAAGAACATACAAGAGAGAAAAACAGACATGACCTCATCCTCACCAATCTGCCTGCCACCTTTGCACTTGTACATGACCATATCAGTAAGATTTTGAATAGATTGACCAACTCAAGATTGGGTACCCATGAAGCACGATCTGCAACCTCATCTCCCAGCACTTCCCCCACTCTACCGTTACCATCAAGCCTCGGGATCAATCTTAGTTCAATGAAGAGTGCCAGCAACAGCACCAGGCATACTTATCAATGAGGGTCAACCTGGTGAAGCTACAAAGCAGGGCAATTGGTTTGGCAAACAACATAAGCAGAAAATGATAAACAGACTTAAATGATTCCAATACCAATGGATCAGGCATAATCTCTGCAATCCTGCTACATCCAGTTGTGAATGTTGGTGGAGAAATTAAACAACTTATTGGAGCAGGAGATTCCCTGCATCGTAAGATCAGAAGTAGGTTGTTCACAGGTGATTGCATAATCTTCAGCACCATGCCCAACTTCTCAGATACTGAAGCAGTCCATGTCTGACTGCAACAAACCTGGACAATATCCAGACCTGGGGCAGATAAGGGGCAAGTAACAGTAACACCACATGAGTGCCAGGCAATGCCATCGCCAACAAAAGAGAATCTTAGCATCACCATGTGGCATTTAATGGCATCATCATGGCTAAATCAGGCACTATCGACAGTCTGGGGGTTACCATGGACCAGAAATTGCACCAGACCAAGCGATGGGTACAGTGGCTACAGGAGCAGATCAAAGGCTAGGAATCCTGCAGTGAGCAACTCACCTCTGTCCACCATCTACAAGGCACAAGTCAAAAGTGTGATGAGAATACTCCCCACTTGCCTGGATGGGTGCAGCTCCAACCACACTCAAGAAATGTGACAGCATCCAGGCCAAAGCAGTTCACTTGATTGGTGCCACATCCACAAGCATCCATTCCCTCCACCACCGACGCTCAGTAGCAGCAGTGTGTATCATATACAAGATGCACTGCAGAAAAGTCTCTTTGGGCAGCCCTTTCGGACCCATCACCATTACCTTCTGGAAGGACAAGAACAGCAGATACATGGGAACACCACCCCCTGCAAGTTCCCCTCTAGGCCACTCAGCATCCTGAATTGGAAATGCATCACTGTTCCTTTACTGTGGCTGGGTCAAATTCCTGGTGATCTCTCCTGCATGGCACTGGGGTCTATCTTCAGCAAATAGAGTGCAGTGTTCCAGAGGACAGCTCACCACCACATTCTCAAAGGCAGTTCAGGATGGGGCAATGAATGCTGGCCCAGTCAGTGAAGCCTACATCCTCTGAATTGTTTCTTCCATTAACGTGATGTGGGCGTCACTGGCTGGGCCAGCATTTACTGCCCATCCCTAATTACCCAGAAGGCAGCCCACAGTCAACCACAATGCTGTGGGTCTGCAGTCACATGTAGGCCAGACCAGGTAAGGATGGCAGCTTCCTTCCCCTAAAGGGCATTACTGAACCAGAGATAGTAGGAACTGCAGATGCTGGAGAATCCGAGACAACAAGGTGCAGGGCTGGATGAACACAGCAGGCCAAGCAGCATCATAGG